GGGGGGGGGGGGGGGTCGCTCTGTGACTTTGTGGCGGGGGAGGGCAGTTACAGATCTTATGCAGCGGTCCTTATCCTGGCTCACAGATCCACGCAGCAGGGGATCTGTAACCCTACCCCCCCTGCCAGAAAGTCACATAGCCGACACATACACACAGTCCCCCCCAGGAGTGCTGGCAGGCTCCATTGAAATAACCAGTCCACCAGTGCGGAGCCTGTCATTCCGGGAGTTTAGAAGCATCATTTGCATCAGAACACTAAACCCGCCCCCCGCCACAGTCTGCGTCCCCGGTTTAAAATATTCCCGCGAAAACAGCAATACAGACAACGGTGTTCATTAACAAAATCGAAATGATTTTATTTTTTGGGAAGGGGAAGGGGGTGAAGGGGGTATGTAACTGGAGAGGATAGTCAAAATGGACTGGGTAAAGAAACGGGGGCAGGTTCAGCTTTTCTGTCCACAAACTGAAAAGTCACTGGTTGCCCTGCTCACTCAGGAACCTAGCTTTCAAAGCCTCCCGGATGCACAGGGCGTCCCGCTGGGATCTTCTAATGGCCCGGCTGTCTGGCTGGACGTAATCAGCAGCCAGGCTATTTGCCTCTAGCTCCCACCCCGCCATAAAGGTCTCCCCCTTGCTCTCACACAGATTGTGGAGCACACAGCAAGCTGCAATAACGATGGGGATATTGGTTTCACTGAGATCACAGCGAGTGAGTAAGCTTCTCCATCTCCCTTTGAGACGGCCAAAAGCACACTCCACCACCATTCTGCACTTGCTCAGCCGGTAGTTGAAGAGTTCTTTTTCTGTGTCCAGGGCGCCAGTATAGGGCTTCATGAGCCAGGGCATTAGCGGGTAGGCTGGGTCCCCGAGGATGACTGTAGGCATCTCCACATCCCCAAGAGTTATTTTGTGGTCTGGGAAGTAAATACCTTCCTGCAGCCGTCTAAACAGACCAGAGTTCCTGAACACGCGAGCGTCATGAACCTTGCCCGGCCATCCGACGTAGATGTTTGTAAACCGTCCCCGATGGTCCACCAGTGCTTGCAGCACCATTGAAAAGTAGCCCTTTCTATTGATGTACTGGCTGGCCTGGTGGTCCGGTCCCAGGATAGGGATGTGAGTCCCATCGATAGCCCCACCGCAGTTTGGGAATCCCATCGCGGCAAAGCCATCTATGATGACCTGCGCGTTTCCCAGGGTCACTACCTTTGGGAGCAGTACCTTGACGATTGCCTTGGCTACTTGCATGACAACAACCCCCACGGTAGATTTGCCCACACCAAAGTGGTTCGCGACTGACCGGTAGCTGTCCGGCGTTGCAAGCTTCCAGAGGGCTATGGCCACTCGCTTCTGGACAGTGAGGGCTGCTCGCATGCGGGTGTCCTTGCGCTTCAGGGCAGGGGACAGCAACTCACAAAGTTCGAGGAAAGTCCCCTTCCGCATGCGAAAGTTTCGCAGCCACTGGGATTCATCCCAGACCTGAAGCACTATACGGTCCCACCATTCCGTGCTTGTTTCCCGGGCCCAGAATCGCCGTTCAACAAAATCCACATGCCCCATTGCCAACGTCATGTCCTGGGCGCTGGGGCTCGTGGTTTCTGACAGCTCTGTGCCACTCTCCGACTTCAGGCTCTCACGGCGGTGCCGTAGCCTCCTCGCCCGATTTCTCTGCATCTGCCTCAGGGAAAGGTGTATGATAAGCTGCGAGGTGTTGAGAACGGCCACAAGTGCAGCGATGGTCGCAGCGTGATCCATGATCGCAGTGCTGTGGCGTCCGCGCTGTCACTGACCAGAAAAGTGCGCGAACTGATTTCCCGCCGGCGCTTTCATGGAGGGAGGGAGGGCGTTAGTGACGGACGGATGACGACAAATTTTTTTTACCCAGAAGGCATTGGCGGCTCGACCCAGAATTCCGATGGGCAGCGGGGACTGCGGGAACTGTGGGATAGCTGCCCACAGTGCACCGCTTCCAATATCGACGCTCGCCCCGTTAGTGTGGACTCACAAAGTCGAATTACTGTCCTTAGTGTGTCCTTAGTGTGGACACACACGTTCGACTTTGCAATATCGATTCCACATATTCGATTTAAGTAAAATCGAATTACCCTCGTAGTGTAGACATACCCTTAGTGTACCAATCCTCTTGATAATTGGGAGAGCAATTGCTCTCAGTCTCTAGAAGCATAATTGGGGGATCTGTTCTATCTGTTGCATTTTCTTAACACTCAGTTGGCATGTTCACTGCTCCTTTGCACTGATATTAGAATTACATTTTATATGTAGAGATTCTGCCTCCCTAGGGGAGCTCTGTCCTCTGTCTTCCTCCATCACTTCAGACCTCCCCATCCCTGGAGGTCCTACATTTGTGGACAACCTCTTTCCAGTTGTTTTCAACAATAAAGAACTCCCAGTGCTGTTGCTTAACTGGCTAGAGAAAATACCAGACATTCCCTTCTGGGGGTTGAGCATGCTGCATCTGTAGCACTACTATCTTTGATTCCCCCCCTTCCCAACCCTGACCCTGGGACTAGGCCATGCATTAATGAATGTGTGGAATGTGGGTACTCAGTCTTTTTAACTCTAAGGTATTCAAATGTACTCCAGAGCAGGAGGTACATGATTTCTAATGTGTATTGGTTGAGGGCAGAGAAGCATAGTTTTCCAATCTGTTTACCCTCTTACATGAGGCAGATGTCATTCAAGCACAAAAGAGACAGAGCTTTCTCAGGGGCCAGCCCAAGACTGGAATGAACTCCCATAAGAACTAAGGACCATCACAAACCTCACCAGCTTCCAGTGGAAGTGCAAGGCACGCGTCTTTGATTTTGCCTTCTCTAATGTAAACACGTAGCAATGTGTTTGTATATATGTTATAAACAAAAAAATCCAAAACATAACACTCCCCTGCACATATTTCTCTGCCAGGGAGAGAAGACAACGAACAAACGTGACAGATGTTAGGCCAGAGGTTCCCAAACTGCCGGTCCAACCTGGTTCCAAGCCCCCACCAGCTAGCTGCAACGGGCTGCTCTTCCAGCAAGCAGTGGACAAAGCAGGCAGCTGCCAAACAACATTATAAGGGAGCATTGCGCAACTTTAAACGAGCATGTTCTCTAATTGATCAGCAACGAAACAACGTTAACCAGGATGACTTTAAGTGAGGAGTTATTGTATAAATTACAAGGAAGATATGCCTAGATTAGCACGATCTCATGAGGCAATGTTTAAAACCAAGAAGGCAGGATCACTGTGTAGTAGGTATTGGCTTTTGGCTGACATGCATGGCTTGGGAATTGACCTAAATACTGTTGGACTCAGTAGTAGATCAGCCCATTACCTCTTTTCCGTTTTTAGGTAGTAGAATTGCTATATCAGGAACCCGAACTCTTTTTTTTTTTTTTTTAACTAGGCAATAACAGATGCATTTATTGGACTTTCATCTGAGAAGCTTTATCACCCATTATATTTAACAGGTTTCAGAGTAGCAGCCGTGTTAGTAACTTGCTTTTCTCTATAGTTTTATCATAGTCACCATTTTTGTCCTATTGGCCATATTGCACTTTTCTGTTTGTCTTTTGTTAACCTATTGCTAGTTAGTTTGTCCCCATCATTACCAAGACATTCTCTTCTAGGTGCTGAATAATCTTGTGATTTTCAAAACTGTAGCCCTTGCACCAAAATGTTTCTAATGGGTAGTCTTGACTATTAGTGCCTACCTGAGTGGAAGCTTCGTTCTTCCTGAAAGCTTTTATACTGGTGGCACTGAAGATTATCTGCATCATTGCTTGTAAGCGTTCTACCGTTGTCAGTTTCTCTAGCTGGCCACTTGAAAGGCCTTTATGAGAGCTGTAATATATTGAAAGACTCCTCTTTGCTGATGGTGTCTTGTCAGGGCTCCAGCTCTCTCCTCCACAACTAGATGAACTGAGGTCTTTTAGGGATTCCACCTGCGGTAATCTCGCCACAGCATCTCGCGCATCACTTCTGTATATAAAGGGAGAAATTACAACCTACCCTTGATCAATGGCAATCTTACATGGCTAACAAGCTTTAACTGAAGAGTTCTCTCCTATTTGGGTGAAATTGTTAACCCATTTGAAATTGTTAACAATGTTTAAGTACCCTAAAAAGTTTTACAAGACTTGCTTCAAATTCATATCGACTGCTATTCCTAGAATATGTTAGCTGTTGCAATTATATTGACCAGTATGATGTTGTTTTTTTTGTTGTTCAAGGGAGTCCTCTTCTATTTTTCCCCACAACACACAGACCAAAACACAGCCAAACCTATGCTTAGGTACAATAGGACCTGCTTCTGAGAGATTCTGAGCATCCACAACTTCCATTGAAGGGTGATCAGTATACATCTCTGGATTGGGTCCTCATTTAGTTTTGTAATCGAGAGGGGGGGATCTACAAATGGGAACAAGTAATTTCACATTCTCAAAGTAATTGATCTTATTCTCAGACATGTCCCCCATCACTCCCAGAGTAATCATCAGGTTTATAAGCAATTTATGGTGTGGGAGGCAGTGCCCCGGTCTGCAGTTCATTCACTGACACATTTGTACTGATGAGCTATGTGGAAGGAGTTCAATTGCCAGTGGTTATGTAATATTGTCCATTGCACTTTCAATCTCTGACTTGTATATATTGTTTCTAGATGCAAATATTAAAATAATGTTTGATATTAATATTGCTGTGCAATCAAATGTTGGGGTGTGTGAAAAAGTGTTTGTAAGCTTGTTTTAAAGAAGGCGGCTGTTTTCTTGAATGTAGTTGTAGGCAGCTTTAATTGTCAAACAGATGAAATAATTTCCTTCTCTTCCTTACAGAAAACCATAGCTAAAATTGCAACATGCCTAGAATTGCGGAGTGCAGCTTTGCAGGTATAGTGACTTAATGTATTCCCCTACCATATCCTGTTCTGCTCTCTTTTTCTTTTGAGTTTTAATGAGTGTCCACCAAAAACATGGGAAGACAATTCTATATGGAAATCTGATTTGTGCAGTCAGGGAAGTGACTTTGCTTCTATTCCTCTCTCTGTTAAGTTTCAATGGAATGAAGTGGGGAAGCAGGTAATGTGTAAGTCTTTCCAGATGTAGTCATGATTTCTGGCTGATAAAGTTAGCAATCTCTTTGAATGCTGGGACTTCTACCACCAGGTAGTTGCCTGAAAGCCTCTGAATGCTTAAGGGCATTTGCGTGCAATGGGGTTTAAATGGGCACGAAACTGCAGGCTTCCTGTTTCCTGTTCCTTGTCACTTCAGATTCCTTCCACAGAAAATGACACTGCTGGTGGTTTGCACAGAGGCTATACAGACAGGAGCTGAATAGTACTGGAGTGAACTTTACACAAGCCTAGCTGTTTTCACGCTGTCCCTGCTAGACTTCAAGGAAGCACTTCAGCAATTTTCACTCTGCATAGATTCATGTCCTCACTCCTCCTCCTCCAATGGAAGCTGTGCAGATACAAATGTTGGGTGGCGAAGGGAAGAGAGTTAACTTTAAAAATGAGATGAGGGGGACTTCTAAAAATGGGAGACGGGGTGACAGAAAATGAATTTAGGCACTGAGCTGCGGTGTAGGTTTTATTTCTTCCATTATTCATCTAAATAAGGTCTTGTAGAAATCAATTTAAGATGTTTCTTCCTGCATTTTGACCTTGGCTTTTATTCTGTATACCTTTTCACCCCTTTTAGTAGCTAATGAGCAAGTTATTTAAAATCCCCTTCTGTTATCCTGGCTGCTTGTGAAACAATAATTAATAGTTACAGTCACAGAAAATACAGGGAGGGGCTGTACTTCATGATGGTTTATGGACTGTGTGTGTTAAATATGATTTGGTTTATAAGAAATTCCTCAAACTCAGTCTTGACAGGAAAGTAGCTCTGGCCTTTGTCAAAATTACAGCAGAAAAATCTTGCTTTTAAAATTTTAAAATATCAGCTCTGTTTGCTTTTTGTGACTTTAAACATAATCTAGTGTCCAATATGTGTTAAGACTACAAGGTTTTGATTTAATTTCTGCCTGTGTTAATGCCACATACTTTTTAAGATGGCTGAAGATCTGGGAAGTGTCTTATCTACCTAATCAACAGTGAAGGCTAGCTGTATTGATATCCAAAAAAGAGCGCATCCCCACCAATTGAAGAGGAGGCAGGCTCCATGGTACACTTGACCGCACAAGTCTGGGAGTCAGGAGCCCTGGGTTTTGTTCCCAGCTCTCCCGAAGATTTTCTGTGTTACCTTAACCTCTCTGTTCCTCAGTTTACCAGTCTGTAAACTGAGGGAAATACATACTCACCACTCAAGTGCTTTGAGATCTGTTGATGAAAAGTCCTAAGTATTTTCCTCATCCTCCATTGGCTGAAGAGCCAAGTGGAAGCAGAGCTGACATTTTATTTTTCCATAGCTGCAGGGAGCTGAGGGTGAAGTGGAATCAGAAACCACTCCCACCCTCTGACCTTCTAGTGGATAAGCTCAACGAGTGCAGGTCCTTTCTCCCAGCAGCCATTGCAGTAGGACAGAGGGTGAATTCAGAAGCTGCATGCCTGACCCTGAACTGCAGCTGGCCAAAGAGCTAAGTGAGGAGCACAGCACAGACTGCAACCAGCCTATTCTCCCGGGGTGCAACTTCCTTACAGGGGAAGGGAAATAGCAAGGAGCATCCCAAAGCTGCGTGATCTGATGTGTGCTTTCAGCTTAGAATGGGGTTTGTAATGGTGTTGGCTGTTGTTTATAATCTGCAACATTAGCTGCTTCATGTTACTCTGCAACTTACCACAGTTCCAATGTGTCTTCCTTGTAACTGCTTATATGTGTGGTAAAGGGAGATCTTCGAACACTAGTCAGAGCCAGATGCAGCATGGGCAGGGACTGAGCTGTTTGGGGTAGTTAGCAGTATTCAGGCACTTGGGTCTTGGTTGGCTCATCTTTATTTTTTAACCTAGTCACAGGCCTTTGAACAGAAACTGCCACTTGTCCCAAATCGTGTGATCACCAGCCAACCCACTCATTTGTGACCCATACCAGGTTAAATGTAGAGTGAGACCTGAATGACAAGTGCCCGAACCCACTCTGTGGCCAAACTCAGAACATAACTAGTCTATCGAGAGAACTGATAATCCCTGCTGGCTTTAGCTCTGTAACCTTAGTTCAGAGGGTTATAACCTAATCATTAAAATCTGCACCAACATGAAATTTGAAGCCCCTTTAAACAAATACAAATTTTAGTTGTTTTGTGATGCTGTCCTCCAGCCTCCAAACACTGGTGTTTCCCGACTCATCCTTTCCTGAGCTACGGCTTATGCCAAGCAAGCCACACTTCTCTAGTCAGTAACTCAGGGATTTTATAGTGTTTTAGGTTAGCGTCATGGGATTTTTCATCCATCTTCTCATTTTGGGAAGCCATACACACACTACAGTTACATTGTGGCATCCTGTCTGGGACCAAAGTGGCTGATCAGCCTGGTCAGCCCATCCCTTCTGCTGGCATGGTATATAACCCCACTATACTAGCCTCTCTCCTGTGACATGCCCAGCCGCTGTTGACACTTGCACAGCAACAAGTGGATCCTTAAACTTGGGCCCCATTTGGCCTTATGGAAGGTTTAAGAACAGTGGGTGACCTGGCATTCTGTGGGTGCTCTCCTGCAAGGTGTTGAGTATTTTCCACTCCCTGACTGTAAGTGGAATTGAAGGTACATGCAGGAGCACTCCATACTGTGCAGGACCAAACCCCATCTGAGCCACAGTTCCTAACCCTAGACCTGATCCTTGCTTCAGAACACCTAGAGTTTGCAGGGTTTAAGACAGACCTCCCTTGTCGTCTTAGCACTCATGTCTGAAAGTATAAATGAGTATAATTAGGCTGTTTTGAAATTTTCTCATTTCCAGGCTCACAATATGGAATAAACTTGTTCTCTTCAGGATCATTAAAATGACATTGAAATAATAGGGACAAAATTAATGAAAGGTTTGTACTAAAAACCCTCTCGCATAGAGACCCCATAGAGAAAACAGCTCAGAACAGATGGACAAAAGCTAGAACAACGCTGCATGCCCATTCTGAAATAGCAATAGCAACAGACGGTGCATAATGAAACCTAATACTATCTTCCTTTGTAACCTCCTAGTCCACACAGTCGCAGGAGGAATTTAAGCTGGAGGATCTGAAGAAGCTAGAACCAAGTAAGTAGTATCTGACATTTTAAGTGGGTGATTTTTATAATTACAGTGGAAAGTCTGATAGTCGCAGTAATGCTGACTGGCCTAAATGTGGGTAGACAGCAATGCTGTTAAGATTATTCCTCCAAATGTTTGCTACCACATACATTCTTTAATAACCAGGCTTTAGTGTAGTGCTGGAAGATTTAAATATGGATGTCCTTACACTTCAGTAGTCTAGGAATTTGTCCTCCCTTGAATGGACAGTGCTCTTTAGGGTCAATAATAGTAGTATAGCACAGCAGAATCCATCCAGTATAGCAGTGGTTTTCAAACTTTTTTTTCTGGCGACACAGTTGAAGAAAATTGTTAATGCCCGTGACCCAACGGAGCTGGAGATAAGGGGTTTGGGGTGCGGGAGGGGTCTCTGGGCTGGGGCAGGGGTGCGGGAGGGGGTCAGGGCTCTGGGCTGGGGGTGCAGGCTCTGGGATGAGGGATTTGGGGTGCAGGAGGGGGCTCTGGGTTTTGGGGGGGCTCGGAGCTGGGCAGGGGATTGGGGCACGGGCTTACCTCAGGGGGCTCCGTGTCAGCGGCGCAGTGGGGGTACTAAGGCAGGCTTCCTACCTGTCCTAGCACCGCAGACCACGCCGCATCCTGGAAGCGGCCAGCAGCTGGTCTGGCTCTTGTCTGCAGGCACTGCCCTCCTCAGCTCCCATTGGCTTCCCTGCCAATGGGAGTGCAGAGCCAGTGCTCGGGGCGGGGGCAGAGCATGGCCTAGGAGTCAGACCTGTTGCTGGCCACTTCCGGGGCGCAGCGCGGTGTCAGAACTGGTAGGAACTAGCCTGCCTTAGCTGGGCAGCACCGCCAATGGGACTTTTAATGGCCCGGTCACTGGTGCTGACCAGCGCCGCTGCGACCCAGTTCCTTACATTCTGCGGCCCAGTACTGGGTCACGACCCGCAGTCTGAAAACCATTGCAGTATAGAATACATGTATTTTAAAAATTCTACACTGCTTAGTTGAATCTTCAACCTGTATGTATCTTTTTGAACATTATTGTATTTGAATTGTAAGTTCAGTGGGGTAGGAAACATGTCGTTCTCTGTACTGTGCCAAGTACACCGGGCCTCAGCAAATGATTCAGAATATATTCTGATACCAAATTAACTATTACCTAACACACTGATGGTATTGTTGTAATGATGTTGGAAGAATGACTTCTCGTGTCTTGCTCACAACACACCTGTTAATACATCCCAGAATCACGTTTGCTTTTTTTGCAACAGCATCACACTGTTAACAGCGTTAAGGTGCCAAAGTCTCATTTGAAAAGTGACATAGGTGTCTAAGTCTAAGTGACTTGCCCAAGGCCATGTATGAAGTCTGTGGCAGAGCAGGGAATTGAACCCAGGTCTCAAGTCCTGGCCAAAAGCCCTAACCACTGGGCCATCCTGCCTCCATCTCTGTGCGCACAATTTGCAGCAGTCACAATGCATTTGAAGTCCCTGTGCTTCGGTGGAGATAGGTTATTAAGACCTTAATTGAGAAAAGCATCCTTACTGAGGAATACTTAAGTACTTAAGCATGTGCTTAAAGTTATGCTTTAAAGAGCTTTCCTGAAGTGGGGCCTAAATGCCATTCTTAGAAATGGAAGGCCATATTTTGATCTCTGATACTCCACCTCCCCTGTCTGGCATCCTGGCATCCACAACAGTAGATTTGGGATTAGACTGTGGTCTGAAACATATATTTCTCCCAGCTATTTACAAAAATAATAAATGTTTCATCAACTACTGATTATAACCTCCATTGTACTTTCAGTGTTTGAGTCTGTAGCAGGCTGTAGTCCTTCAGGCAGCTTCTCTGAGCTGGCCCCTTTAAATTGCCTTCAGCTGGTTCCACCCAGGCGGCCTTTCAAAAAAACAAACTGAACACAAACCTTCATAGCAAAAGTCCTTTCCTCCCAGGCATCTCTGTTGGGTGCAGTCTTCCAGCCTTGCTCTGCCACTTGGAGGCCAGGTCACACCACCTCTGTCCCTTCTCCCATGGGTGGGAAGAGTCAGCAGGCAGACAGTCCTTCCCTGAGAGTGTCCCTGTGTAAGGAAAGAGGCAGGTTATATGTTGACCTCTTTTGCAGAATTTATCCTGGGTGGCTGAGAGAGGGGAGCTTTGTCTGAGCTATGCTGCAAGGCTCCCCATCCTGAGCCTGTAAAGAACAATAGCCTGGGTTTTCCCAGACATTATCACCCCAGGACCACATCCTCTCTTCTGTCACCTTCCTCTGCCATTTCCTAGGCCCTCCTCTGCTTCAGAATTCCTGGAACAGGGTATCCTGGCCTCTCAGACTTCCCCCTCTGGCCTTAAAGGAAAAGTATTCTCCCTTCAAGTCTTTCGTTGTCAGTGTGATCATTTGTGAAGTTAGTGTATTAATATTTTGTTTAGCTTTCTGCTCAGCATATTCTTTAAATCAGAAGTTCTCAAAGTGAGGGATGGGTCCTGGGGGGGAGGGAAGCACGGAATGTATTTTGGGAAGAATACATGAGGAGCGGGAGGGGAGGGGAGGTGAACGTACTGCTCACATTTTACCTACAGCAATGAATGAGCAAAGCTGATTCCTCCAGACATATCAGGTCCTCAGATAGCGCTGTGCATTTGACTCTAGAAGGCACTATGTGTTTTGATGGATTTCTGTTAAGCTTGCATAGCATTATACAAAGTTGTTGCCGTCTGTACGTTAATCCATTTGCTATGATGCGATCTGCACGTTTAATTGTAAGCATGGACCAATAGTGAGGTTTTCAAACGCATTCAGCGTTGGCAAGTAGTTAGACCAATGCTGAATGTCTCTGAAAATCCCCTCCTCAGCATTCTACAATGGTCCAAAAGAATGCTGTGTAAAAGATTTATAGTGGAATTTTCAAAATTACACCTCTACCCCGATATAACGCAACCCAATATAACACGAATTCGGATATAACGCGGTAAAGCAGCGCTCCGGGGGGGGGGAGGGGGCAGGGCTGCGCACTCTGGCGGATCAAAGCAAGTTCGATATAACGCGGTTTCACCTATAACGTAAGATTTTTTTGGCTCCCGAGGACAACGTTATATCGAGGTAGAGGTGTACCTGTTAGGAAAATAAATCCATTGACTTTCAATGGGCTATGTGTTCCTAACTTCCTTTGATGCTTTCAAAAATCCCACCATTAGTGGGTGTGTGACACAGCTGATGTAAATCAGTATAGCTCAAATCAATGGAGCAACATTAGGTAAGAATCTCACCTGAAATGTAGAACAGAAGTCACTTAGTAATTTAATTTAAAGATAGACAATATTGTGGTATCTTGTTAAAAAGGCTCTGTCATGAGAAATATGTTTAAGATATTAAATTACATATTTTGCCTGTGAAGACATATGCTGTTTCTAACTTTAATTCAGTTATTTTACTTACATTTTACTCATATAGCATAGTACTTTACAATATCTGAAATTGTGATCCTGTCAGAGCTATAATTTTTTCTATTTACAACTGATAACTGTTGTCTGTCCTCCAGTGGCAGTAGAGGTGAATTACTAAATAATTCTTTCGGAGTGTTGTGTATTCATAGTAAAAAGTCTGTTTCTCTCTGAGAACAGAGAAGAATCTAATGCTGCTTATACATGAAAAATTAAGTGTAAACTTTTTTTTTTTTTTTTTTGGATACTGGGTTAATATAAAAGTCTGATCTAGTTTCTTTCTGTCTTTAGGCTGTGTTCCCTCTTGCAATTCACTAAGCTTGGATGGTTTCACTTTCAGTGTCTCATACACATTACTGCTTAGCTATGTTTTCCAGCACTGTAGGAGAATTTTGAAATTCATAAAAACCTCTTCTGTTTGAAATTCATAAAAACCTCCTCACCCAAACTGTTTGTACTGTTTGTGTGCTATTAAAAACTGCTTTCCTCCCAAGAAGCAATAGCTATATCTCCCTTATTGACCTTTCAGAGATTAAGGCACTGGAGTGAGGCTCCAGAGATCTAGGTACACTTCTCAGCCTGCCATAGATTCCCTGTGGGACTGTGGGCAAATCTCTTAATCTCACTGTGCCTCAGTTCCTTATCTGAAAAATGGTGATACCCACTTTACTCACAAAGATGAGTGAGTTAGGATGAATTCATTAGTGTTTGAGGTACTCAGCTACTGTGATGATGAGGGGGTTATCCTCACCTAGGTAGATAATATCTGTAAAGTGTTGAGTCTCAGATTAAATATACAAAATCCAAATTATTCTTTCCATTGAACATTTAAGAGTATTAAACAATTATCAGGTTTTGCAAAAATTTTATACTACAAAACTTAGTTCTGGGCCTAACCTTAGGTGTACAATGTTTTTAAAGCGCTCTGTGCTGTTAGTATTGAAAGCAAAATGTTTGGGGGTTTTTAATAGTTCACTACCAGACCTCCTAAAAAAGGCTGGACCAATACTAGCCCTAATTTTCAAATAGGCAAGTCCTCAGCGATTGTAGAATATCCCTTTTTAAAAGAATTCCAGGCAAATATGAATCATTACAGAAGAACCTCACTCACTTACATCAGTGACTGGGAAACTGGTTGTAAATGGTTGGTTGAATTTTCAAATTGGTGAATAAGTGAGCAGACTTCAAAAAGAGAGGCTAATGTGTCATAGAAGGTACTTTTGGTCACTTACAGTAACACTCATTGGATACTTTATAAAATACTTACTAATAAAGTGTTCTGTAGTACATTTGGTAAAAATAATTAAGTCTTTGTAATACAAGCCCTCCCTACAGTCCTCTGTTATGTAAATCTAAGCTGGGAAGTGGAGAATGTCTCGCTTTCTATATTACAAGTCATATAGATTAGTGAGGTTTTTTTCTGTAGCAAAAATTGTAAGGGAAAGATTTTTATATGCTCTGCTCTGTAACATACACACATTTGAGAGGATATACCCTCAGATGCTTTCAGGTGTCATATGGCAGAGTTAATGACTAAAAGATGTCCTTGCAATGGACTGGGAGCCTTGACTCCTCTATGCTAAACAGCCATCAGGCTTTTGTCTTTGAAAAGGAAGGATAACACATCCATTGCTAATTTAGATGCATTCTGGGTGATAGGGGAATTTTCCACACACTGCTTTGATGATGATCCTAGCCAACAAAAGTTAATGGATAATTATAGGTGATGCAGGTAGTGATGTCTATAGTTAAGGAAGCCTAATGGTTTTCCATCATTAGACTTTTTCTGTTGCTTTATAATTTTGTCAGACTTAAACCATTAGGGCTGAAATTCTCCATGCTGTGTGTCTGCCACAGGTTGAATTTTTTTTTTTTTTTTTTAGGAAATTTCAGCGAACACAGTTAAGGTTCTCTGCAACATTGGCTACTGGGAACACATCAAACTTGTTCTATCTTACGGATTTGTACTGCCACTCATTACCATAGTATCTGAGACCCTCCCACGTAAAATCAATAGAAAGAATAAAGTATGTAGTGGACATCATGGAGTCACTGGGGTAGAACTTTTTGGTGGGGGCAAAGAGGCAGTTGGGAAGTTTGTAGGGTCAGGGCTGGCTCCAGGCACCAGCTGAGCAAGCTTGTGCTTGGGGCGGTAGATTGTTGGAGGCGGCATTCCGCCCAATCCTAGGGCGGCACGGCCGCTTTTTTTTTTTTTTTTTTTTTT